ATAATGTCCTTTGTTTCGCTACACCTTACCTTTTAGAGTCTTTGAAGAGACTACTGTTTACATCATACCAAATCAGGTATAAAAGTTTTATGTTGTTGCTCGTGGTTCAGCGGTACACTGTACCGCACTATCAACACACGCCGTTCGATCCCGATAGGAAGCAATTCCCTCGGCGGACTTTATGTTTTGCTCAAGACCAATGTTAAAGGCGAACTGTTAAAGGCTGCGGTTAGGTGATTCAATTTCTAAACCGTAAACCAGACAGTTAGCGCAAAGCGCCCACCTCTATTGCGATATCAAACAATCATCCGCAATGTGTCTTTCTCGATCTCACTCAATTCCTCCCGTAGAATCCGCCCGCAAGCAGCATATGTTGTTCGAGCCCAGTTTCCACCCGTTAGGATCGTCCACATCCGACGGTTCTTTCATATACTCCAAAAACTCAATCGGCCTGGCCTCCTCGTCCTTTGCAAACTTGCTATGCTGGAGCCATCCATTAAACCAGAGCGGACGGTCGTCGCGACCAAGATGCAGGAGTTGGGGGCCGCAGATGGACATGTTGCCTAGAAAGGCTTCTTGTTCAGGGGTTTCTGAACCTTGCACGTCGCGTTTGTCGGAACTCGTCGCTGCGCCGACTACAGCTGCACTGCCATTGTGAAAGGCGTAGCCTGAGTCACCGGCGAGTTCCCAGCCCAGCCAGAATGTCTCCTTGTCCCCTATACTAGGTCAGATTCAGGTACCAGACCGGCTACCAGCAGAGGCAGAACGTACCATAGACCATATCATACATCCCAACCTTTCCATTGTCCTTGTCGCCATCACGATCGGGCCCATTTAGCCGTGATACCAGCGTCAACGCAACAAAGTGCCTCCATTTGTCCACGACCACAACGCCCGACTCCTGCATATGGGAGCTTTCGCCCTTCCAAAGACGCGTTTCTCTTGCCTTCCTGGAGATCGGCCGCGGGAGGATCGCCTGCAGCCACTTCTTCTTGGACTCGGGCATCATCAGCCGATCCTTGAAGAACAACGCGCCCTCAGCGACGTAATCGTCGTCTTCGAACAACGTCGCCGGGTCACGCACAAACAGCGCATCCGCATCGACAAAAATAACCTCCCGGAAGCTCGAGAGCAGAATCGCGAACGGCTTGGCCGCCCACCCTGCCAGAGTCCACTTATCCTCCAACACCATCTGGCTGAGATCGCGCGTCAATACCCCGGGGATAGACTCGAGGCGTTCGCGGAAATCTTCACTCAGGTCATTATCACCCAGATACATAACCTCGACGGGGAGGTCGCACCCAAGCTTCCGCATTGCCTTGATTGAGGTAATCATGTACGGAGCCTGGTTGTCGCTCGCGGTGAAGACCAGCCCGCGCTGACCGCTGTAGAAGGACCCGTGGAGTGCCATGTGGTTGGCGAAGTATGGTGCCGTCCAGGGGAACAGAAGCGAGGCGAGACGCGTCACCAGCGAGCGGTAAGCCTCGTAGGTATGGATGATCTTTGCGGTGTCCATGTGCAGGTCGGTTGCAATTTCCGGGTGTGTCTGCAAGTATTGGATTACGTTGTCGCGGAGATACATGCCCCCCGGCGTCGGGACGAGGTGAATAGCTTCCCAGGCCTCGAAGAGCACGTTGAAGGACCGGGTGCGCAGGCCGATCTCGTGGATCTTTGCCTCGCCTGTTCCGTCGATGGGACTCAGTAGGTCCCTAATGCGTATCTCGTCTGGCAGGAGGGAGATCATGCGATGGAGGCTGTCTTGGAATGAGTCTGCGAGAAGAATCTCGCTAGTGCTGTAGTTCGGTCTCGTGTCGAGGAGTTGCGGGCGTTGCTGCGGTGTCTGGTGCTGCGGATGGGGTTTGGCACTGCTGGAGTGCCTGTCCACCGTTGGTGATTGCTTCCTGCCGGCCTCATCTTGGGAGCGGTCCGGAGCTGGCTCTGGATAACCTGTAACCACCAATTGTTGGCTCTCGACTGGCCGGATGAGCCGAGCGATGCCTGAGGAGGGTGCGAGGTGGCGATAGCAAAAGAGCACGACAAGGAGGAGGAAGATCGCTTTGAGAATGGTGGTTCGCGGCCGGCGAGGGTGATTCATCCAGGCTATCTGAGCCATTGTATGTATGTATTTATGGATGGGGGGTGATGAGGAGGCTTGTCAATTCATCCCGGTTTGTTCTTCAGATGATCAGCCGGGGGACATGTCCAGGATGAGTTGACATGCTGACTTGACGTCCCTTGACGCCATTCCCCCATAGACTTCTGGTATCCATGGTTGCACTTCCAAGTCACAGTGGGAGGGCCGTGAATGAGCTGGTCGTCGTTCTGACTTGAATCCTACGGGAAGCTATCTCCGGTACTGTCGTCATGGGCGGCCCGGAGGATCTTCCATTCGATGCCTGCTAAGGTTGTATACATCCTTTATTCCGGTCTCCCGGATTGAGTTCTGTTGATCTAACATTAAAGTCATCATTCTTGTCAGATCTTGAAAAGAAATTGCAGTTAAGTATTCCGCTGAATGTTGTTCAGCGCAAGCTATAGAGCGGATGATGGTGATCGACGCGACGGGGAATGCATCTACAGAGCACAATGCCGTCCGGGGTACATTAGATGATGTCATTCATCCCGATGCGAGAGATCATATAATAACCGTGTTTAATATCTATCCAATGCATGTGGCGTTCTCTCCAGCGACTCATCGTGGATCCCGGCTCAGGCCTTTCTATTTCCGTCGATAGACCCACATCCAACCAGATGTCCGGGAACTTCAATTTCAACGCTCTTGTATAGTAGAATAGTATTCTCCGTATGCTCCATGAGGGGGAAGATCCAGAAATAAAATCAGCCATTATATTCTCATTACTCCTTACTGTATTACAGAGCACCATATCATCTCAAAACCAAGCTGTAAAGCTTCATCGCAGTACAAAGTAACAGGAGCCCATATTTTCCAGCGACAATTTAGAAACCATCCAAATGATAGTTCAAACAAAACACAAAACCATTAACTTTTACGTATCCATTCTCTCTTCTCCCTAGCACGTGAACATGGTCTCATATGCTGTCACCCACGCGTATTCGGTCGAGTACTTTTATCGCATAGCCGTCTCTCTTGTTGATTGTCATGGTGCGACATACAAACTCATATCCAGCGCACTCGGTCACCTTGGGCTTCCAAATAGGAATAGGATAAGTAGTTGGCACTTCCATTCAGGTCCACTTATCGCAGACGGTCTTGGTGAGTGTCATGTAGATCTTCGTAGTGACCACGGTGGTGA